GATTTGAGAATAACTTTGTTCGTTTGCTTCTCAATAATTTCCGAACCCTCATCATCGAACGAGACCTTGAGACCGGTACCTCCAACAAGCTGAGATACACTGATGAGATTATGTTGTAGTCCTTCTACATATGCAACCTTCCTATTGTGAAATCACCGTTTGTAATCATTCCATAGCCTTTTATGGTTCCGAAGGAGTTGTTCCCGAACTTGACATTTCCACCGTTTGAAAGAGATCTGAATTCCCTTAGCTCTTCCTTCCTCCTGTCATGTGACGTGAGCAACCACTGTCATATACCATTCTTCGTCGAACTGATCGTCACTGATAACCTGCACAAATTAAACAGATTTAGGAACCCAAAGTTTTTGGGTCCACGTGAGCCTTTCACAGGAACAGGAGTAGTAAGAGAGATGTCAACAAAATATGTTCTTTTTATTAAGTTGTTCATCTTTCTTTTTGATGGTGAAAACCTTAATCTTAGTGGGATTTGATGCTTTTGGTTTGGTCTCGGATTTAACTGACGAAACCTTTGATTTCCCTTTCAGGTCAGTTGAAGATTTAGGTTTTTGAGTTCGAGCAGAATTGGATTTAGAATGGGGGGAGAAAAAGAAGAATGATTGGAAGAATTAGAAGAGTTAGAATGAGAGAATTTAGACTGAGATGATTTCTTGACTTGATATTCTAGGTGACTCTTTCGGTTTTGATTATCAGTGGGACCGAACCTAGAATTTTGGTCTCTTTTTCTCTCAGAACCGAACTCCTGCTTTCGGTTGATACTGTTCTCTGAACCGAACTTCTGCTTTCGGTTGATACTATTCTCTGAACCGAACTTCTGCTTTCGGTTGATACTGTTCTCAGAACCGAACTTCTGCTTTCGGTCGATACAGTTCTCTGAACCGAACTTCTGCTTTCGGTTGTTATTTCTCTCTTGAGATCCAACAGTAATTTTCTCTGACTTTAAATTTCTGTCACGATATGAGAAATAGGCATTTTGAGATTGCCAAAACTGTTTTCTTTCAGAAAGATTCTTCTTGTATCTCTGATTCCTTTGTCGTTTTTGATTTCTCATCTGTTTCGGCTGATGATGGATGTTCGCCTTTTGATTTTGACTGGTGTCAACAGGTCCACTTTGAACCGATGATGATTCACTTGAGTCTGCTTTTTCTTTAGGAACATCTTTTGTACCACTAGTACTCGGTACGTCAAAGTTATCAGGCTTGTTCAGTGGCTCAGGAATATATCTTCCTTTTGTCTTCCAGGATGTTTGCTCTGATAGACCAACAGTTTCATCAGCATTATCGATAGGAGCAGACCAGAAGAACTCATCACAACCATCAGCATTGTCTTCGTTTACAATGGCTGTGAGTTCGGCTGTCTGATGTTCGGTTACACCTGTGACCTTATACACCTGATTTGGTGTTGTCCTTACCTTTTGGTAAACAACAGCTTTTTCTTCAAGTTTCGGGGACTTTTGTTGGGACAAGCGAGCGAACTCCACAGAATTTTCTGAGATGAGATTTTTGTGGATTTCAGGTTCACTCTTGACAAACTCAGAACAGTCAACTTCATCCTCTACAGAAATTTCACTCATGTCATTATCCTCATTAAGCTCAGATGCATTTTCAACATCAATTTTATTTTCTGAGCTCAAATTGGCATTCAATGAGTCAAATTTTTGTATGGTTTCGGTCCTTAGATTCAGTTTGTCATTTTCATCCAAAAGGTTTTTCAGCATGTCCTTATGGTCTTTGGACTTAATGAAAGATTCAATTTTGTCTAGACCATACATATACGTTGGATTAACATCCTCAGACGAAACCACACTTTCACAATTGTATGCTTCAGCGTCGATTTCATCCTCCTTAAACTCAAGAAAAGGCAAGATCATACGATGAATTTTCTGCCCTATTTCACAGTTCAAATGAAGTTGAGTGATATTATTGTAAAGACGCTTAGCAATCAAACAAAAAACATTTCGCTGTTTCAAAAGTTTTAAATTGTCTCTTTGCAAATAAATGTTTTCGTCCTTGGTTTTGATTAACTCCGACTCTTTCAGTTCGATCCACATCCTCCGTTCCTCACTCTTCGACGACACCCTGCTTATTTGGTCAGTTAGGTTAGAATTGGTGACTCGAGTTTGAGTTAAGCTGCTGTCTAGATGAGAAATTCTTGAATTAACATTTTTTAATTCTTTTTCATATGAGCATTGTGGGACTTTAAATGAAACAAAAACGGATTGTACCTTCTTGATCAGTTCATCAAGCTCGTTGAATTGCACGCTGAGCGGTTTTGCTGTAAAGCACATGTCCTGTTGCTCCTTCGAGTCTTTGTTCCCACCATCTGTGTTGTATCCCCTCATTTGAGATACATCGGACACCATCAAGCATCTTCCACTGCTGTCCTTCTCTTTCGCCACATAAGCTTTTCCATGAGAAGGCCTCCTTACTTCATCATCCTCGGAGTCGGTTGACCAGACCTCCACTCCTCCGAATTCATCATTTGCTATTGAACCCTGCACAATTAAAGCATTCATAGACGGGTTAGCAGTAGATTTCTTCTTCCTGATCTCATCCAGCTTTTTCAGCAACAACGCTTCTTCATCTTTTTCCTCATCCTTTTCAGCCATTTTCTTGAGGACACAATCTTTAGCATAGTGATTCTTTCCTCCACAGTAATAGCAGCTCACTCCCGAATCTCCTTCAGCTTTCGGCTCCTTCTTTGATTCTTCTGCTTTTGGTTCGTCTTTGACCTTTTCAGAGCTATAACTTCCCTGCCAATTGCGGTTCTTATTGGTGGGAAATCTTTTCTTGATGAACTCTTGGGGTTTGATACCATCATAGCATAGTCTTCAGAAGTAAGATCATAGTCTTCTATGTTGAGGTCTTCATCTTCCATCACCGCTTTACTTTTGGATAGTAGGGCCAAGGAACCCAGGCTTGAAACTACATTTTTCTCCTGTAGTACGATCTTTTCTTGAGATTTCAGAATGCCCACCAGTTTCGCTAGAGAATAAGATTTGAATTGCTCATGCGCTTTAACTGTGGACACTACAGCTCTCCACTCAGATCTGAGGCCGTTCAAAACGTGACTTTCTGCTCAATTAACTTCCTTTCAATATCATGTTTAATCATCTTGCTAAGAAGATGATTGAAGCGATCGAACGTTTGAGTCACAGTTTCTTCGACTCCCTGCTTGAATTCACCAAACTCAGATAAGAGTAAGGTTTGAATGGAGTGTTCAAGATCTTCGTCCGTAGAATACAATTCGCGAAGCCTGTCCCATATTTCTTTGGCAGTAGTGCATGAACTCACCAGCCTGAAAGTGTCAGATTGAAGAGCGAATCTGATTAATCTCAATGCTTTAATATTGCACTGAAATTTATCTTTTTCGTCTTGGGCAACATCTTTAACATCTTTCAAAAGATCATTATACTCCTTTTGAGTTTTAATAATCCTTGAAGTTGCAGAATGAGCAAAGGGTCCCGATACGATTGCTTCCCAGATGAGGTATCCATTGTCCTCAGATCCTATAACATAATCTTCAAAGTGATTTGCCCAGACTTCATAATCTTGGGTGTAAAGGATGGAAATCTTCATTGTTGATCCAATGCTGTTCGAAATATTAATGGGATTAGATGGCGACTCGTCCATGCTTGATCGAATAACCTGTTTGAAAGATCAGACTTGTAATATATAATATTAGGGCAAAACGAACAAGTAATGAGATACGTCAATTATGGGGTGACGGCTCAATAAATATTAGTTAATGCGGAACAAACCCTAATAGCTTCTTTCACAGAAGAGATGTGTATGAATTACATAGCCTCCCGCTCTGATACCAATTGATGAGATAAAAATCTCTAAGATCGATTAGATCTTTGAAACATGTATATAAAGAATGTAAAGCAATACTCAAGAATGGATTTGAATGTGTTGAATGATTAGAACTTTCAATCCTCAGCAGAGCCCGATGAAGAACTTCCACTGTAGAGGATTCTAGGGTTACAAAAAGATATCTTCTACAATTACACCATAAAAACCCTGATCTATCAGTTACGTAAAAGATGCATGCAACCATCTATTAATACACAAACCCTAGAAAACAAGATACGGATGGATAGGCCCATACCGCATAAAAGATGGGCTAGGAAGCGAGCCCAAGACGCAACACCAAGTACCCAACAGTTTTCATTCTGTATGTTCTAATATCAATAACTGTGTCTATCAAATAGTTCGAATTACGAATTTAGCTTTCAAACTAATCATAGATTTCTCGATAAAATGCTCTAATCTAAACTATGTTTCATAATCTATGAATAACTTATACTAATTTCCAATTATAACTAATTACGAAAACGAAAACGAATACGAAGCTATAACTAGGAATAGAACGCATACGAAGCTATAACTAGGAATAGGACGAATACGAAACTATAATTAGGAACAGAACGAATAACGAAACTACAACTAGAAACAGAACGAATAACACATCTATAACTAGGAACATAATGGATAACGAAACAATAATTAGGAACAGAACGAATACGAATACGACTGCGAATACGAATACGACTGCGAATAGTAATAGGAGTAGGAATAGGGAAACGAATACGACTGCGAATACGAATACGAATATGAATAGTAATAGGAGTAGGAATAGGGAAATGATACAACAACAAATACGAATATGAACACGAATAAGTACAAGAATATGTATAAGAATAAGAATACGAATATGAAGATATGTATCTAAGTATACTCCAAGATAATACCATTAGATTATCAGAATACCTAGTTAATACAATAGGTACGAAAGGAAATAAATCAGTATGTCGAAGTTCAATAACTAAAAATTACTTTTAGGAAAGTATGGGACTTTCCTGGGGAAAACAAAACATTACCTAATCAAGTTACATCTTTTACCTCTTTAACATCATTCACATTAGAAACCAACATGCAGGAAACACTACTAGAAAAATAGCCTTTTATGACGTGCAATTTATGATACGCGTTGATTTACGATACGCAAAAGTGAGTGACCTAAAAGTAATGTCATCTCTCTATAAATTTTAAGGATTTAGTACGCGCATTTTTGCGTGCCCTTAAATTAGTGTCTAAAAAAAACACGGAGGGCGCCTATAAAAAATGTGTGTCGTCTGAATATGTCGCTTTATAAATTTTAATGGAAATGCACGTTCCATCCTTTAGTAGTTGGAGGGAAATGAAATCCTAAAAAATTAAAAACCCCGCCTTCCTTTTTCATCCTTTCCCTCTTCCCTAATTATCGACGCTCCTAATTCCCCTCCCTACATTGACTGCCGCCTACTTCTTCCCTCGAACTTTGACCATCGTTACTTGCCATTCCCGATCGTTGACATCGATCAAGGCAAGCACGCCACCAGCCGACAACCTTCACTCACTCCTTCTCCTTTTCTCTATAAACCCTAATCCGCCTCCACCACTACCGAATCTACCTCAACTCACCTCTGACCTCGGCTCATCTCTTACCGTCGGCGAACTCGGGCTCACTTCACCTCACCAGATACTGCAACGATTGCTCAAGTTTACAAGCCCCAGGTTAGATTAATATTAAAGTTGAGTATGATTTCAATGAGATGATGGATTTCCCTAGTCGCTTTTTTATGAAGAAATTTCCCACATGCACAATAGATCTTCGAATTGTTGCAGAAGGGGACGACCCACGTGTGATTTACGCTAAAAAACTTAACTTTTGTAGGTGTCTCAAAGCGTAAGCGAACCAGGACAAGGGAAGCAATAAATCCAACACTCACTCTCAAATCGATTCTACTGGACAAGTTTTTAATTTGGGCTCTCTACATTCTCATCGATTCTACTTTTATTCAAGCATAAATCAGTTTTTTTGGTATCCAATAACCGAAGGGGTATTAACATCAGTCGGAGGCACCCCTTAAACATTCAAGATCTCGTAATTTTCTTTAATCTACATCCGAGTTGCAAAACGTATCTCAAGATCTGCAAAAAACTGGTCAGTTCCTTCTATCTAAATCTCTCAATGTGCTTGAATATGTTGTCCATTAGTTATTTCAACATCTCAACAAAACTCTGATTCTTCTGTGTTGACGATGGACTGCATATTGAAATCACCATTAAAAAAATAAATAGCATTATATATAAACAAGATTACTATCTAATTTATAAAAGATATGAAATTTTTTATCACATTCTCTCTTGTAGTTTGGTGGTGTAAATTGAAATTATGTTGATTTTGCAAGTATATAGCCACCTGCAGAAGCTTCTTGGGGTGAATCATGAAGTGGGTTCTAGATTCTCATGGTCTCTTATTCATCGATCAGATCTTCCACCAGATGCTTCATCCATGGAGTTATCACGAAGAGTGGAATGCAATTCCAAGCTAGCTGTTGCTCTTTCAGTCAATGATGAGTTCTTTGTTCCTAGTCTTGACAGGAGAAGTGGAATCAACTTACCCTGTTACTTTCTTTACCCATTAAGTTGATGTCTGAATTTGCTAATTCTTTGTAATTTTTTTTGTAGATCAAACTTTAACAGGTTAATAGTGGCTTCTTTACATCTATATTGGAGAGGGGTGGTGAAATGATTTGTGTTGCATCCATCAGGTAGGCTTTTGCTGCTTTAATTAATTTTAATAAAATTTGTCAATTTCTTACCTTAATTTCAAATATTAATAAAATATGTTTAGGATCCATGGGACCCAGCTACCAGAGATGCCATTTATTGGGACCCGCCATATTTATAGACGCCAAAGGATGTGTCGTAGGTTGTTATCTGCTATTGAATCAGTAAGAAAAAGTAGAATCTTTTATTTGCTTTTGTTGCGTGTAAATTACTTGTAGACCCTTTTCTTTTCAGGTACTCTCATCCCTTCATATTGAGAAATTGATCATTCATGCCATTGCTGAACACATGCATACATGGATAGATGTTTTTGGTTTCAAGCCTCTTGAGGAAACACACAGACAAGAAATGAGGTCCATCAACATGTTGGTGTTTCCTGGAACAGATATGTTGCAGAAACCACTAATTCCAGAGAAAGGTTCATCATTACATAAGATAAGAATGGAATTGGAATTGGAAAGCAACATTCTGAAGCCTGACAGATCTGAATCAAGTTCTCCCGATGTTAAAGAGTCGAGACAAAGAATTGCTCCATCGGATTCCGGTTCTCAAGATGCTAGTGATGCGACTCTTTCCATCAGTTATGTAAAAGTTGACATCCCGTTTCTGGTTCCGGAAAGAAAACCAAATGTTATTAGTGATTCCGATGTTTAGCTTGATGGTGATGATACAGTTATGCAAAATGGTGAAGAGAGTACTTCAAATTTTGCTATTTCTGTTGCCATTCCAGTAAGAAAAGGTGTGTGTGGGGTGGTAATGAGACTACAAATGGAATTGTTGATGCTGATTCCAAGGGAGAAGAATTTGCTCCACTGAATGGGAATGTGATGCCTTCCACCAAAACAGGCGGTGCCTGTTCCATTCCACGTAACCCACGTGAACTCATGTAGATATTCACTAAATGAAGAGTTCAAGAATACCATGGCCTCAAGGTCTTTCTGAGGATACATGGAATCAAATCTAGCAAGCACTTAGAAGGTATATTTGTTACTTTTCCCCTTCTTCCCAAAAAGTAGTTGTGGTTTAACTTTATGGTCAAACCTATTGAAATTTTGCATCAAAAATTGGAATGGTTCAACATTTGTTATCTTACCCATTTTGTTCAGGTTTGGGCTTCTAAATGGAATGAAAGAGCATATAAAAATAGGAATCATGATACATTATGCATTCGTATTTTGATTCAAGAGCATATTAGAGATGATTACGCCTTTGTCACATACACAAATCATCTAGTGTCTCGTTACTCCTCACAGATATACACAGAGATAAGTCTCATATTTATGGATGCTTTTGTTTAGGGCTATTTTCAATTATGAGAATGTGGATAGTATCTAATTCCTTTTTGACAGCTCATCTTTTTTTTCAGCATGAAACAATACATTAACCTAATGTTTTTTTTCTTCCAGGATGCAGCTTCTCGGGGAAGTGCTGGTGTAGGCTTTGATGTCGTGCAATATGGGTACTGTAATTGTAATCATTTCTTCATTTATTTTGGTTATTTTCTTTTTGGGTGTTAAGATATTGTTAATTATTTTCAGTGATGTTTTTTTTAGATTAGCATCTACTCTAATAATGTTCAATAATAGTACACTCACAACAAATGAAGACTTTCTATGTCCAGTTGATGGAGCTATCATGATAACTTCATGTCATCTTCCTTATAATAGAAATGCTTTTAAATTCTTTACTAATGAAGGACGCCTTGGAAAACCTGACATTAAAGACATTCTGAAGCGTGCTGCAAACATATACAATGGATTTACACCAAAATCTCTAGAAGAGGCAGAAAGAAAAGTTTCATCTTCCATCACTAAAGTTGACTACACGGCTATTTACGCTTCTAACCTTGTAACAACAGTTCGCAAAGCTTCAGGAAACATAGGTATATGTGAAGATTACTTTTTTTTTCTTTCTCTCATGCTTATTTTCTTACTTGCTGTGGATTACAGAAAAGCCATTGGAAGGATTTCATATAGTTGTGGATGCTGGGAATGGAGCTAGTGGTTTTTTTGTTGTAAGTTATCTTTTAAGAATGATGTATAAGACATGAGGTAAATTATATATATATATATATATATATATATATATATATATATATATATATATATATATATATATATATAAAGATTACTTTTCAAAATCTTATTTGTTTTTCAGGGAAATTTGTTTTTCGAGGAAGATTTCAGTGTTACAAGCAAGATTGGGTAAGGGCTTTAGATTCAGGCGCAAGGTATATATCATTTAGCTATAAATTATAATCCACATTGAAAAGTTAACTACTTGCATGAATGCCTCTTATCTTTTGTTCGCTGATACTAATAATCATATTTTTTTAGAATATTAGCTCCAACAACATACATCTTCTTTGCCTCCACCCTTCCAGTCATTGCCTTCGGTGAGCAACTGAATAAAGAGATAGGTACAAATAGATACACTATGTGTAATTCACAAATCATTATGCTTATTTGGCTTATGTTTTGATGACAGATGATACGTTGATTGCAGTGGAAACTCTCACCTCTACTGCTATATGTGGATTTATCCATGCAATATTCGGTGGACAACCTCTTTTGATTTTAGGCGTTGCTAAACCTACTATTATAATGTACAATTATCTCTATAGTTTTTCTAAAGAAATACCTGAATTGGGGAGGCAGCTGTTTCTAGCTTGGGCTGGATGGTATAGAACCTTCTAGAAATGTCTCAAGTATAATTATCATGTGTAATCTTATTCTTTCCTATCAAGCATATATGATAATATACATATTCTTCTTGGCTTTAGGGTTTGTGTCTGGACTGCTGTGATGTTGTGTGTTCTTGATATACCCAATGCTTGCACACTCATCACAAGATTCACAAGGGTTGCTGATGAACTTTTGGCATGTTGATTTCAGTGCTCCTTATGCAAGAGGTTATTAAGGTATATTATGCAGATGCACTTCTTAATGGTTTAACTCTCCTTTTGAGAGATAATTCATTCAATGTGATCTTATGTTGCTTGCAATTATTTTGGCATTTGGTACCCTGTGCCGCATTTACTTGATCTTATAGATCTTGATGGCGGTGACGCTAATAATGCCATTGTCCCCGTTGATCAGCCTGCAGCAGGGTAAGGCGCTGTTTCTTTTTTATTCTACTAAAGTACCAAAATACCCCTGTTATATATATAATTAAATTTTTTATATAAGCTGATCTTAAGGATGCTTATCCAACTGTCATGGTAGATTTACAGGTATTTCCAACCTCCAAAATTACCTTTTTGGTTCTTCAAATCCAAATAATTAGTGGTATTGAGGTGCTTGTTAATGTTCTTGGACATAGAGTTGCCGTACCAAGCACTTCCAAGTGAGTTTAGACTTGTCCCTTATACTCCTAATATGTTTTACTAGCTAAAAATCCCATTATGATTATGTAGTTATATTTTCACCTTAGTGGGACAATTCATTGATTATGGTCCTTTTTATTCCCCATGGGCCCTTTTTATTTTCTTATTTTCATTAATTGCTTTTTGAGAAAAATTTATTTATTATTATTATTTTTTTTGCAGTTTCTCTCAGCTAAATTTAAATGGGATAAAGCTAAACAAGAATTTTATAAAATTGTAAATGTGGTGAAAGGGTAGTTCTAAATATTTGCATATGGTTTCAGGGGTTACTCAGGGAAAATGCAAGTGGTAGCAAATACTGGGCATATGGAGGTGACTTTGGAGATACACCAAATGACTTAAATTTTTGCTTAAATGGTCTCATATGGCCTGATCGGACTCCTCATCCTGCTCTAAATGGTGATTACTATAATTTTTTTGCTTAGTATTTAGGTTTTTGTTTAGTTATTTCCAACAAAAATGTTTCCATGATGAATCTTTTGGTAGAGACAATGTATAAGAATTACTTCATTGAGCTAATTATGATGAGATCCTTTGTTTATTTGTTTTCAGAGGTCAAGTATTGCTATCATCTCACATTTGAGTTTATAGGAATCAACAATCACTATGAAACTTCTAGTGTTTAGATTTCTTACTGGTTGTGAACATTTGTATCTTCCCTTTCTACCCTTCACTTGCAGGTTGATGATTTGTCAAGAATGTTCAGACTATTTTCCAAAAATACCCCATGGATTAGATCCTATCTCTAGTATGTTTAAACAAGTTTGTGATTTAGGAGTTGGATTCTATTTTTTTTTTAAGTAGAATGCAGTTATTTGTATTTGTTGTCTTCTGTTTTTATCTTTTTGACACAATGCAGCATGTTGCTGCTGAAGGCACAACCTTGGTCAAACAGGCAGAAGATGCTGCAAGTAATAAGAAGGTAGAAAAGAGATTGCAGGTTGATCCTGCTACATAGCCAATAATGATCTTTAGGGTCTGCTAGAAGGATTGGAGATTGCAGTTAAGCTTCTATCTAAGACTTCACGCCAAGGACTTGATGAATTTAAGATATCATATTTTGGCATGGCTAGAAGCTTTAGAGGAAACGAGACTCAAGCAAAAGTAAACACACAGAGAGTTGTTGGCACATAGTAAGCTAGATAATGCAATTGTATATAAATGGGTTCATTTTTTTATAACATTTACTCACTATTGGAATAATTATTTGTATTGGACATATTAGTGAAATGAATTATATTTTTTATTTATGGTATTTTATTTTGTATTATGAGATTTTTAATGTATTTGACAATTAGTAAATCTATAAATAATATTTTTTTTAAACATTTAAAATTATGATACGCAAAAATGTGTGTCATCTTCATTTATGACATGGCCTTTCTTGACAGGGGCTTTCTTGATATGCATTGTGTGTCATTAACACACGCGTCGTAAGGTTACGACATGCGAATGTGTGTCGTCTTCCTTTATGACAGGGCCTTCCTTGATACGCATTGTGTGTCGTAAACGCGCGTCGTAAATGCGCGTCGTCTCTCTTTATGACAGGGCCTTCCTTGACGCGCATTTGCGCGTCGTCTGAGCCTTTTATGACGCGCAATGAGCGTCGTAAAAGGCTGTTTTTCTAGTAGTGAAAGCATGGGGCTTTCCTGGGTAACACTTATATAACTAGAAATAGTAACAAACGGAATAACATTACATATTTTACAACTAGTAATATACAATCAGGAAAGTATGGGACTTTCCTGGGATCATAGTTAAACAATCAGAACCGTATAACCTAACAATCAACCAACCTTCTCTTTTAAGAAAATATGGGATTTTCTTAGATAACTACTTTTCGATAAACTAAAGGAAACTCGTACATTTTCACAAAGCAAACATCTTATGAACTCACCAACTTTATGCTGATTTTCAAACTGCTTGTATTCTCAGGTCAACATTAGACAGGTACCTAGCGAATCTTTTGGAGAAGACGGAGTGTGCAGAAGACTCGTCTCTACTTTTGTTCATATATACTATGTATTACGAATGTACAACTTTACTTTTGAACAAATGTAAACTTTGATATGTAATGTAATGGTTGTTTACTTTCCTTCCTATGTATATTGGATTTGATACTCAACTTGGAGTCAACCCCAGAGATGTTTCCGCCTTTGGTTTTCGGGGTGTGACAGCCGAACAAGTAGGATAGGACATTAATTCTCGCTAAAAGTATAATGATAATTATAAAGTAACTAAACTTTTATTAAATTCCCAATCTTATTTACTTTATGAAAAATGTGAAAATGGTGCTATTCCATGAAATTGCACTTTGCACCTTGTTAAGTCGTTAGTGGAGCGTGTGTGATTAACCAACACACTAATCTGGGACTAACAAGGGTGGAAAAGGGTAGCTTGATGTTAATCATAGATCAATGGAATGTGTGTGGTCAACCAGCACATTGATTAGGTGATTTGTAACATTAAGAGTACCAAACACATTTGCATGGTTATTCACACCTTGTTTGTGATTCTTGGCATCCCAATCACAAAATTGAAGGGTACAATCGAGATTTAAAACATGCCATTGGAAATTTCAATGAAACTCAAAAGAATCTAGGGATTTCAATCCAAATAAAACTTAATAATCAATTTCGTTTTTCATGGTGGAAATTGGTAAATCATCATTTACCTACCTTAAAATATTTTGGAATTGGATTACGCCATCCCTCTTCCGAATTGTAAAACTTTGTGTTGGGTCCTAGCCTTAATATTTCATTTGGGTGTAATATTAAGGATTCTCATCTAATCTAAACTTTGTTCCCTTTCTTTTCAGATGTCTATCCCAAACAATGCTTCAGGCTCCAATCCTTCTAGCTCATTCTCCCTCAAGAACTTGGTTGGGAGAACTATCTTCGATGGATCAAACTTTAACAATTGCATAAGAAACATTCGTATGGCCCTTCGCTATGAGGACAAACAATATGTTCTCGATAAAGAGCTGAAGAAGATTAATGAAAAAAATACTACTCGCGAACAAATTGAGGAATACAAGGTTCATGAGAGGGATGCGACAAAGGATTCGTGCATTATGATTGCTACCATGATTGTTGAGCTTCAAAAGTCCTATGAGAACTTTTGGCCCTTCAAAATGCACCAAGATTTGATGAAAAGGTACCATCAAAGTGCTCGGCAGGAAAGGTAAGAGATCATTGCCTCCATGATCACAACCAAAATGAAGGATGGAGAGTCCATCATGGCCCACATGTAAAAGATGCAGAGATATGTGGACCGCTTGCTGAAATTGAATGTCAATTTCGATGAAGAGTTGGCCATAGATATCATTCTACACTCTTTTCCTTCTTGTTATGATCAGTTCCATATGACCTATCATATGAAGAAGGAAGAGGTCACTCTTAGCAAGCTTCAAGGCCTTCTAAGAATTGTAGAAAGCAACGTGAAAGGCAAGTCAATTGTACCTACTCCTAATACTGTTGCCCCTGTTCTGGTAATTGGACATGGGAAAGGGAAGAAAAATAAGGCTCATTCTAAGAGCCGCAAGGGAAAGTCTCTTGATGGATCCTCTTCAAGTGGCACCAAATTTGGTTCTTCTAATCCCTCAACCAATCCGAAGGATATAGAGTGCTTCCATTATCATGAAAAAGGGCACTGGAAATGAAGTTTCCCTATGTACTTGTAGGACATTAAGGATGGGCAGATAAAGCCCACCTTCGCAGGTATTTACACTATTCTTTCTAATAACTCATCACATGCTAATTCTTGGGTCTTTGATACAGTTTGTGGATTTCTCATTTGTTCTGATTTGCAGGGACTAAAAAGAAGTAGGGATGTGGAGCACGGGAAGATACACTTAATCATGGGAAATAGGAAAAATGTCTCCTGTCACCAAGATTGGAGTTTATTCTTTATTGATTAGTAGTGGGTTAAATTTAGAATTTAATAATTGTTGTTACTCATCGGATATTGTCACACCCCAAAACCGAGAACGGCGAAAACGTTCTGGGGTGGAGGATATCATGTAATATATCACAACAATGTAAAGTAGTAAACAAGCAATAACATCATCCATTGCATTAATATTATAATTTTAATTACAAGTGTGTTCTTTCATAGGATAAGACAACATAATGAATAATCAAAATAAATAGGAGTCTTCACTGCTCCGTCTTCACAAAATCTGGTCGTCGTACCTGGCTATTTGTGACCTGAGAATACAAGTTATTTTGAAAGCGAGTATCAACAATAAAGCTGGTGGATTCATAAGTATTAATGTGTCTTCGATTTATAAAAACCGTAAAGTAAGGACTTGTAATCATTTGGAGAAAAGTTTGTATAAGTGTGAAAATGATTGTAAGTAATTGTAAACGTTTGAAAACCCTAGAAAATCCTATATTTCCTACTAGTATAAAAGTAGTCTTCTACCAAGATCCGATTGTTTTGAAAGTAGTCTTCTACGAAGACCCGACTGTTTTGAAAGTAGTCTTCTACTAAGACCCGACTGTTTTGTAAGAAAGCATCACTGTAAATGTGACGGTTTTTCCCTGTTTAACTATTATTAAAAAAGTTATAGTCTACCTCGTCGTTTATGTGTGTGAGTCACAATATAAAGGTAATAAGGAAAATAGTTTATCTATATCAAATATATATCCTACATCGTCGTTCATGTGAATGTGTCACAAAGTAAAGGAAGGAGAATAATATAATAACTAAAGATGTATCCTTTTGCATTAGGATATTCACGGCGTGGAAACTCGCCGAACAGTACAACCTTAGACACCCCTCGATGTTCCTTTTCCCTACTGTAGCTAACATTTTTGGGTGTGGAATGGTAAATCCCGTACGTGGGTAACAGATCCTATGTAATAGTATCTATTAACATATTAATGTAAACATGTTCATGTAAGTGTATCTCTGTAAATGTATCAATGTAAACATATCTCTGTAAGCGTATCTATGTAAACGTACTCATGTAAGCGTATCTCTGTAAATGTACTCATGTAAGCGTATCTCTGTAAATGTACTCATGTAAGCGTATCTATGTAAATGTACTCATGTAAGCATATCTATGTAAACGTACTCATGTAAGCGTATCTATGTAAACGTACTCATGTAGCATGTAATGTATTAGTATAGACTCATGAATGAACTGACTCTTGTGTGATTCTTGTACTTGAAATTGTAAGTAGTATCTCCTAACTATACCTATTATAGTTACTAGTAATGTACAGGTATATCCGAGAGTATACCTTTGCTACCCAAAGGTACTTAACTGACTAAGGGGACCTTTATACCTATACATGTATACATGATATACAATTAATATTTAGACGACATTCGGACAAGCAACCGATGCCCTAAGGCCACATCCCAACGAGGAAAAGGAAATAAAGCGAGCTGACCGTCCTAAGTCTTTTAAACATTATTTAGATAACTATAAATATTAAGGCATGCATTTTACAATATAAAAGCATAACAAAAGTTTTGTAAAACCTTTGAAAAGTTTAATACTAAGAAACGATGACTTGATGTCAGTTTATAAAACGATTTGAAAGAATGATTTTTGATAAGACAATTTAAGTATAAGGAAAACCTTTGTTTGAAAACACATTTATAATAAAGTTTGAAAGGAACTTACAGTATGTAAGACAGTTTGATAAGGAGTTTTAAAGATGTAAAAACGTTTAAGGAAGTCATTTGAAGAAATTTGTTTGGTAAAACAGTTAACGTATAGTAAATCCATTTGCATGCTAGTTATTAATCACACGTGATTGATATGATAACTAAACATGATTCAAATTGTATTCCCACCCCCCCATAAAGCATTTATAAACATTTAAAAACATTTAAAAGGGTTAATTAAGGGGTATGAACTCACCTGATGGGGGTTATTCAAACGGGTATGCACGTACGGATGAGAAGTTCCACGAATGAAGTCCCGAGACACAATAAGCCCTAAATGACATATAATGACACATATTGACATAAATATAGTGTTTATAAACAACTATATGAAAGAAAACGCCTTCCG